CCCCAACCACAAAGAGTATCTTTAGTTAGTAGCCTTTCATGTCCAAGTTGCCAAATAAAGTGTTGGATCCTTGGTAAAGTGTTAAGGGACCATACCCAAGACCAAGAGTCTTGTTGACTAAGAGAAATGTTCTTAGCCACACAATAGGCAAACTTAACTTGAAAAAGACCATTTGTTGAAGGACCCCAAGAATACCTATCCTACCTTGGAGTAGTAGTTTGCATCGAGGTGGCCATAATTTGTTGTTTAAGCTCAATTGGCAGGGGATTAGCAATTTTTTCCCATTCCCACTCTCCAGAGGGGAGAAGACATCCTTAATTTTTTTATTAAGGCTATCAAGAGTAAAAGGGCCAAACAACAATTCTATGAAAGGTTTATTACCAACTCGATTATCCATCCAAAATAGCACCATATCACTCGAATGTGGAATCCATTTTACAACCTTCACAAGGATGTGATTGCCTTTGGCAATATTATGCACAACAAGAGAGGCTTTTTTGAAATTACTTTTGGGATCTTGAATCCTATATTTATCACAAAAGCTTTAGACCACAATCTATCTTTCTCTAAGAGCATTCTCCATTGAACTTTGGCCATCGAGGCTTGGTTAGCCTCTTTAGAGAAGCGTAAACCAAGTCCACCCAATTTCTTAGGTTGAGTAATTCTCTACCAAAAAACAAGATAGGCTTTCTTCTTTTCACTAGTTGTCCCCAAAATAAATTGCCTAGTCAGGCTATCCAACTCTTTATGAATAGACTCGCAAGAGTGACTTTGTTAGCTCTAAAAAGCATATTAGCTTTCCAACTAGTTAACTTGCTTCTCACTTTATCAACAATGAAAGAGCAATCAACTTTAAGTAGTCTTTTGGGGGTAATAGGAAAACCCAGATATTTGCCCCAAGGGAATGAGTTTTAGAGATATTAAGCTTGGCACAAATATTGAATTTGGTCTCAACAGGAATATTTTGGGAGAAAAGAATCTTCAATTTGCTTCGAATGATCTTTTGCCTAGATATTTGACAAAAGAAAACTAGCAAGTTATCAAGATAGGAAGCCTTACTCAAACTAGCCTTACCAATGAAAGATTAAATCATCAGCAACATATTTCCCCAATTTAGTCCCTTTCCATCCTCTGTATTAGAGTCACCCTGGAACTTCATAGAAAGGAACTCAACACAAAGCATGAATAAATGAGGAGAAATTAGATCACCTTTACTACCTCAGTTGAGGTGGCAAAATGTACCTGTTGTATTTTTTGGTTTGTCAGGGTATAATATGTAAATATAACATTTATTCTGTAATGTAAAAATCTCGTTCTCTTAAATTTCTCATTGTAAAAAAAAAAAAAAATGGTAGTAAGATCGTGGCCAATTTTTTTTTAAGATTAGCCAGTAAGAAATATCACCAAAAATCAAAATGGACCCCGCAGAAATCAAGGGTGATGGCTGGGCATGGCACTCCAACAGTCTATCTTATCCACTGGATAG